TTTCTTTTCTTTTCTTTTCTTTTCTTTTCTTTTCTTTTCTTTTCTTTTCTTTTCTTTCCTTTTCAATGAAGTGGGGGGGTAAGAGGAAAAAAACAGATTTCTGTTAATTAAAACAAAATAATTTTTAAAAAATAGAAGTGTAAGGGTGCTACAGATGTGAAAAGTTGTATGAATTTTCAGATGAGGTCATTATATTGTTAATTTTACTTAATGGTTTTAATTTATTATACAAAACCTCACAGGCAATCTGTAAAAGTCTGCAATATAAAAACAAAACAAATCAAAACTTAAAGAGAGGGAGAGGGTAGAAGAATGTCACACAAAGGAGGAAAGGAAAGAAAAAGATAACTGTACACTTTGGTCTAAAAAAGCAAATTTGAGGGTCTTCCTGAAGAAGAAAGAGCTGTGTATGTTCTGAAGAGAGAGCAGCTATTTGACCTTCAAGGATGATAAAGAAGGACCATACATCACCCAATAAGAGCTAGAGAAAGAAGAGAAGAATATTGACAGCTAATGACTCTCTAATCAGGGATACTGAGGTAGCTATTTGTAAATCTGATAACAGCAACAGAAAGGTCTATTGTCTTTCTGGGACATGTTTCTAAGATAGATGACAAATTTGTCAAAAACAGATGACTACTACCCACCTCTGGTGATTCACATGGGCACAAATAATGCTATGAAAAAGAATCTCTAAAAGTATTACCAAACCAATATAGGAAATTGTTTAAACCATGCATATTTGTTGTTGATTAGGGAAGGTAGGAGGGAGAGAAGATAGATTTTTGTTAATTGAAAAAAAAAAAACTTCAAAAAAAGTATTTCCTAAAATTACCAGGTCTGGAGCAAGATACTGAAGATCACGATGTCACAGGCTATGTTCTTACTGCTGCCCATTGAAGGCATAGAATACAAGAAAGAGAAAGAGAAAAAAAGAAAGAAGCAGAGAAATAAAGAGAGAGAGAGAGAGAGAGAGAGAGAGAGAGAGAGAGAGAGAGAGAGAGAGATTGACTTGGGAAAATAGAACTTGGATTTCTAATTTAAAGTAGAGAAATGATAAGCTACTAATCATGGATGGGATGCACCTAACAAAAGCTGGTAAAAATGTATTTGCTTGGTCTTATAAATTTAATGAAAAGGACTTTAAAATAAAAAGGACATGAAAGACAGGGGGAAGGAAAGGGGGAAAACTGCTTATGTATGCATTATGAGGTAGGAGCCATAGAGAATAGATGAAATTCCTGCCTGGAATATGGTCTGGATGAGTATATTTATTAAAAAGAAACAGGAGAGTTAAAATTATGTATGTGGGTGGGGTAGTGTTATGCATTAAGAAG